CAAAATATCACAGAAATCCCCAAAATCCCCAAAATCCCAAAAATCCCAGATCCGTTTCCCCAAAATCCCAAAAATTCCGGATCCGTTTCCCAGAAATCCCAGATCCAGTTCCCCAAAATCCCAAATCCACTTCCCAAAAATCCCAGATCCATTGCCCAGAATTCCCAAATCCAAATCCCAAAAATCCCGGATCCAATTCCCAAAAATCCCAAAAATCCCGGATCCAATTCCCAAAATTCCCGTTCCCATTTCCTGCCGTTCTCGCACAGCTCCACGATGGCCGAGTAGAAACTCTGGCAATTCCCAACACATTCCCAACGTTCTCCCAGGAAAATCCCAAATCCCATTCCCAAAAACCCCAAAAATCCCCAAAATCCCAAAAATCCCCAAAAATCCCAGATCCGTTTCCCCAAAATCCCAAAAATCCTGGAGCCATTTCCCAGAAATCCCAGATCCAGTTCCCCAAAATCCCAAAATCCTTTCCCAAAAATCTCAGCTCCATTTCCCAGAATTCCAGCATCCAATTCCCAAAAAATCCTGGAACCAATTCCCAGCCCTCTTCAACGCCAGAATTCCCAGATCCAAATCCCAAAAATCCCGGATCCAATTCCCAAAAATCCCAAAAATCCCAGATCCCATTCCTCACTCTCCAATCCCAAAAATCCTGGATCTAATTCCCAGAAATCCTAAATCCATTTCCCAAAATCCCCGGCTCCAATTCCCAAAAAATCCCAGACCCCCAATCCCAAAAATCCCGGATCCAGTTCCCAAAATTCCCAAAATTCCCGTTTCCATTTCCAGCTCCACGATGGCCGAGTAGAAATTCTGGGAATTCCCCACACATTCCCGACGTTTTCCCAGGAAAAACCCGGATTCAATGTGCAAAAATCCCAAAATCCCAAAAATCCTGGATCCAGTTCCCAAAAATCCCAAACCCAATTCCCAAAAAACCCTGACCCATTTCCCAAAAAATCCCCAAAATCCCAGATCCAGTTCCCAAAAATCGCAGATTCACTTCTGAGAAATCCCAATCCCATTTCCCAAAAATCCCAACAATCCCAGCTCCAATTCCCAAAAATCCCAGCCCCGTTTCCCAAAAAAATCCAGATCCAATTCCCAAAAATCCCAGCTCCAATTCCCAACAATCCCAGCTCCAATTCCCAAAAAATCCCCAAAATCCCAGCTCCAATTCCCAAAATTCCCACCCGGAATTCCCACCAGGAACATCTCTCGGAATTCCAGATGGATCCAAACCCAGAATTCCTGCCCGGAATTCCGGGAATTCGCACCTGGAACATCTCCTTCCCAAAATTCCCACCCGGAATTCCCACCAGGAACATCTCCCGGGATTCCAGATGGATTCAAACCCGGAATTCCGGCCCGGAATTCCGGGAATTCCCACCTTGCTCCGATCTGAGCTCTGCTGAATTCCCGGCTCCACCCGTCCCCTCATCCCAAATTCCAGCTGGAATTCTTGCCTGCAATTCCTTGAGGAACATCTCCCGGAATTCCAGATGGATTCAAACCCAGAATTCCGGCCCGGAATTCCGGGAATTCCCACCTGGAACATCTCCTGGAATTCCCACCTGGCTCCGATCCGAGCTCTGCTGAATTCCCGGCTCCACCCATCCCCTCATCCCAAATCCCACCTGGAATTCCACGAGGAACATCTCCCGGGATTCCAGCCCGGAATTCCCGCCCGGAATTCCGGGAATTCCCACCTGGAACATCTCCTGGATGCCCTCTCCGCTCTGGGCCGAGGTCTCCCAGTAGAGGAACTCAGAGTTCCCACCCATCCCCTCATCCCAAATCCCACCCGGAATTCCACGAGGAACATCTCCCGGGATTCCAGATGGATTCAAACCTGGAATTCCCGCTGGAATTCCGGGAATTCCCACCTGGAACATCTCCTGGAATTCCCACCTGGCTCCAATGCAAAATCTCCCGAATCCCTGGCCCCACCCATCCCCTCATCCCAAATCCCACCCGGAATTCCACGAGGAACATCTCCCGGGATTCCAGCCCGGAATTCCCGCCCGGAATTCCGGGAATTCGCACCTGGAACATCTCCTGGATGCCCTCTCCGCTCTGGGCCGAGGTCTCCCAGTAGAGGAAGCCGCGGCTCTCGGCCCAGAGCCGCCCCTCGCTCTCGTCCACCACGCGCAGCTTCCCCGCGTCCACCTGGGGAACGGCCGGAAAAACGACGGAAAACGGGATCGGAACAGGCGGAAAAACGACGGAAAACGGGATGGGAACGGGCGGGAAAAACGACGGAAAACGGGATGGGAACGGATGGAAAAAGGGACGGAAAATGGGATCGGAATGGATGGAAAAACGGACGGAAAACGGGATGGGAATGGGCGGGAAAAACGGTCGGAAAACGGGATGGGAACAGGTGGGAAAACGGGATCGGAACGGACGGAAAAACGGATGGAAAATGGGATCGGAACGGGCGGGAAAACGGACGGAAAATGGGATGGGAACGGGCGGGAAAAATGACGGAAAACGGGATGGGAATGGCCGAAAACCGACGGAAAATGGGATGGGAACGGGCGGGAAAAACGACGGAAAACGGGATGGGAACGGGCGGGAAAACCGACGGAAAACGGGATGGGAATGGATAGAAAACAGGATTGGAAAACGGGATCGGAACGGGCGGGAAAACGGCCGGAAAATGGGATCGGAACGGGCAGGAAAACGGACGGAAAACGGGATCGGAACGGGCGGGAAACCGACGGAAAACGGGATCAGAACGGGCGGGAAAAACAACGGAAAACGGGATCGGAACGGGCGGAAAACGGCCGGAAAATGGGATGGGAATGGGCGGGAAAACGGACGGAAAACGGGATGGGAACGGACGGAAAAAGGGACGGAAAACGGGATTGGAACGGACAGAAAAACGGACGGAAAATGGGATCGGAACGGAACGAAAAACGGGATCGGAACAGGCGGGAAAACGGACGGAAAACGGGATGGGAATGGATAGAAAACAGGATTGGAAAACGGGATCGGAACGGATGGAGAAACAGCCGGAAAACGGGATCGGAACGGACAGAAAACGGGATCGGAATGGATGGAAAACGGGACCGGAAGAGGCGGAAAAATGGCCGGAAAATGGGATGGGAACGGATGGAAAAACAGCCGGAAAACGGGATAGGAACGGATGGAAAACGGGATTGGAAAACAGGATTGGAACGGACAGAAAAACGGCCAAAAAACGGGATGGGAACGGATGGAAAACGGGATCGGAACGGATGGAAAAACGGCCGGAAAACGGGATCGGAACGGGCGGAAAACGGCCGGAAAACGGGATCGGAATGGACAGAAAAACGGCCGGAAAATGGGATGGGAATGGGCGGGAAAACAGGATTGGAAAACGGGATCGGAACGTATGGAAAACGGGATTGGAATGGATGGAAAACGGGACCGGAAGAGGCGGAAAACGGGATCGGAACGGGCGGGAAAACGGATGGAAAACGGGATCGGAACGGATGGAAAAACGGCCGGAAAATGGGATCGGAACGGGCGGGAAAACGGACGGAAAACGGGATGGGAACGGATGGAAAACGGGATCGGAACGGATGGAAAACGGAACCGGAACAGGCGGAAAAATGGCCGGAAAATGGGATGGGAACGGATGGAAAACGGGATTGGAAAACGGGATTGGAAAATGGGATTGGAAAATGGGATTGGAACGGACAAAAAAATGGCCAAAAAACGGGATGGGAACGGATGGAAAAACAGACGGAAAATGGGATCGGAAGGGATTGAAAATGGGATTGGAGAACGGGATGGGAACGAACGGAAAATGGGATCAGAACAGGCAGAAAAATGGGATTGGAAAACGGGATCAGAACGGATGGAAAATGGGATTGGAAAACAGGATTGGAATGGACGGAAAAACGGCCGGAAAACGGGATTGGAATGGCTGGAAAACGGATGGAATACGGGATCGGAACGGACAGGAAAACAGCTGGAAAATGGGATTGGAACAGACGGAAAATGGGATTGGAACGGCTGGAAAACGAGATTGGAACAGGCAGAAAAACAGCTGGAAAACGGGATCGGAACGGACGGAAAAATGGGCAGAAAATGGGATCGGAACAGGCAGGAAAATGGGATCGGAAAATGGGATCGGAACGGATGGAAAATGGGATCGGAATGGACGGAAAACAGCCAGAAAACGGGATTGGAATGGATGGAAAAACAGATGGAAAACGGGATCGGAACGGACAGAAAAACAGCCGGAAAATGGGATCAGAACAGGCAGGAAAACGGGATCAGAACGGATGGAAAAATGGCCGGAAAATGGGATGGGAATGGACAGAAAACAGCTGGAAAATGGGATGGGAACGGATGGAAAATGGGATCAGAACAGGTGGAAAAATGGCTGGAAAATGGGATCGGAACAGGCAGGAAAATGGGATGGGAACGGATGGAAAATGGGATCGGAGCAGGTGGGAAAACAGTCGGAAATTGGGATGGGAATGGATGGAAAATGGACGGAAAAGAGGATGGGAACAGGCAGGAAAACAGCCGGAAAATGGGATGGGAACAGCCGGAAAAACAGCCGGGAAACGGCTGGAAAACAGGATTGGAAAAGGCAGGAAAACTGCCAGAAAATGGGATGGGAATGGCTGGGAAAACAGCTGGAAAATGCTATGGGAACAGGCGGGAAAACAGCTGGAAAATGGGATTGGAACAGGTGGAAAAACAGGCGGAAAATGGGATCGGAACGGATGGAAAAGAGGATCGGAATGGATGGAAAAACAGGCGGAAAAACAGCCGGAAAATGGGATGGGAACGGAGGGAAAAGGGAACAGGAACATCAAGGAATATTTGGAATACTGGGAATTTCGGGAACGATGGGAATGTGGGAATTACGGGAATATTCGGAGTGATGGGAATGATGAGAATATTTGGAATATTGGGAATGTTGCACTTTTAGGAATACTGGGAATATTGGGAAGAATGGGAATGTTGGGAATGTTGGGAACGCAGTAATTGTGGGAATATTGGGAAAAACGGGAATGTGGGATCAGCCCCCGGGATCCCCTCCTCGGCCTCGATCCCAGATCCAATTCCCACAGGAAGATCCCAAAAATCCCGGAGCCGATTCCCTCGGGAAAATCCCAAAATTCCCGGAGCCGATTCCCACGGAAAGATCCCAAAATTCCCGGAGCCGATTCCCTCGGGAAAATTCCAAAATTCCCGGAGCCAATTCCTACGGAAAGATCCCAAAAATCCCGGAGCCAGTTCCCTCAAGGAAAATCCCCAAAATCCTGAAACCAATTCCTTCGGGATGATCCCAAAATTCTGGAGCCGATTCCCACAGAAAAATCCCGAATCCAATCCCAACAGAAAGATCCCAAAAATTCCAGATCTAATTCCCTCAGGATGATCCCAGAAATTCCAGATCCAATTCCCATGGGAAGATCCCAAAAATCCCGGAGCCGATTCCAACAGAAAGATCCCAAAAATTCCGGAGCCGATTACCTCGGGATGATCCCAAAAATTCTGGAGCCGATTCCCTCTGGATGATCCCAAAATTCTGGAGACGATTCCCTCAGGATGATCCCAAAAATCCAGATCCAATTCCCTCAGGATGATCCCAAAAATCCCGGAGAAGGTTCCCTTGGGATGATCCCAACAATTCCAGATCCAAAAATTCCCAGAATCCCCACAGTTCCCAACCCTCTGGATTTGGCTTGGGAAAAACCCCGGGAACGGCTCCGGAATTCCCAAAATTCCCAGAATTTCCATCCTGATGGATCCATACTGGGAAAATCCCCGGGAACGGCTCCAGAATTCCCAAAATTCCCCAAAATTCCCATTCCACGTGACACAACGTGGAGCAAACCCCGGGAACGACTCCGGATTCTTGGGAGTCCCCAAAATTCCCATCCTGGTGGATCCAGACTGGAAAAAACCCCGGGAATGGCTCCAGAATTCCCAAAAATTCCCAGAATTCCCATCCTGATGGATCCATTTGGGAACAAACCCTGGGAACAGCTCTGGAATTCCCAAAATTCCCACAAATCCCATCCTGATGGATCCAATCATGAACAGATCCCTGGAACTTCCCCAGAATTCCCAAAATCCCCAAAATTCCCATTTTGATGGATCCAGACTGGAAAAAACCCCGGGAACGGCTCCAGAATTCCCAAAAATTCCCAGAATTCCCATCCTGATGGATCCATTTGGGAACAAAGATTGGGAAAGGCTCCAGAATTCCCAAAAATTCCCATCCTGGTGGATCCAATCGTGAACCGATCCCTGGGAGCAGCTCCAGAATTCCCAGAATCCCCAAAATTCCCATCCTGATGGATCCAGACTGGGAAAAACCCCGGGAACGGCTGCAGAATT